CAATGACCTTGTGACCTTGACTGTGACCTATATGCTAAAATAGCTTTTTTGAACCTTCACCCTAACTTTTGAACCATGAGAGATAGGGAATTCATATTTGTATGTATACTTCACTAATTAAGCTTTTACAAATGACACCATGATCAATGACCTTGACTGTGACCTACTAGTATATGCTAAAAATATAGGTTTTTAAAACTTTATTGCCGCCGGGCGCATAGTGTTTCACAAACACATCTTGTTTTTCAAATGTAAAATAAAATTTAATGCACAAGTTTTCTATGCTTCCTTCACTTTTTTCATAAACAAAAAGTTTTGTCTTTATTGTACGGCTCATTGGATTTCTCTAATGATAACACTTTGAGCCGACCAGCTACGCAAATGGGCATTTTCTAATGAAGTTTTTTGACAATATGGAAGAATTCGAAAATTGTATATGGTAACAATCTTGATTTCAATATTAGTGGAAGAAAATACCCCATGCAATCCGATTTAGACGATATAAGTTTTTGTAATGTTATATTCATTTTTTAGTTTTAAATTTAAAAGTATTTTATTCTATTGACTAAAAATTAATATATATTCAAGCTTTAAACTTTTATGATCTAAAGTAGTTCGAAAATACTCGATCACAAAATTGATTAAACCTTTTTGCGACATACAAATATTTGAAAATATTTAAAACTTATTTTGAGCTGGGTTTTTTTCTTTTATGAAGAAAACTAGAAGTAAACGTTATACAATAAAACAATAAAAGAGAAATAATTTTATTAGAAGAAAGAAGATGTTATTAGGAAAATATCCAACTTTTTCTCGGTTAAATGAAAGTAATTATTTATGAGATAAATTATCCAGGGCAGAATTTCACAGGAAATACCAATATATTGATATGTTTAGGCTGGCATATACTTTTAATTATTCACAGGTACAAAATTTGTGTTATGGCTGAAATATTTATTATATTTCCAGACGCGTATTTCAAATATTAAATTTTATTAAATTTTATTTTCATTTTATTAATAAAGTAATCAAGAAAATAACGTTCGAATCTTAGTACTATATAGTGTTCTGTATGCAGTGAGAGAAAAGAATTAAAAGAGCAGTAACACTCATTTTATAAGTACATGTAACTATTATAACGGATTCAGAAATGGTATAGTTGAAGGGAGGTATATAATCCTGTGGAAATCCAACAAAATTTGATGAATATTCTGAATATTTCTTAAGCTTCATATATAAAATAGATATTATAAGATATGCACTATAAATACAAAGCTCAGAAAAGCTATTGCTAACTTTTTCTTAAGTCGTCGTTGTATTGTGTTCTCGTAGACCTTTTACCAAGTAATATCTGGTAAATGCTGTACAAACAGCGACTATGGACGAAGAGGAACAAAAGTTATGAAATTTATGTATCATTTACAAGATTTAAGTAACAAAGAACTTTATTCGGTAATAACCAATATTTGCCCCCCAAATCAAACTTTGATGGAGATATATTTAATTAAGTTCTTAAACAGGGGAGTATATGCTGACTTCAAAGCACTGAATATTTTCACAAATATTTACATTTGCAAGTGTTTTCCTTTGTATAACACTACTGAAAGCAAGCGTTTTTATAACTGTATAAATACAGGTACGGGGTTAAGAGGTCATAGATGTTCGTATGGATAAACGTTCGACGTAATTTCTCTGTGACGTCATAAAGGGTCGACGCGCGTTGGGTTTGAAAAATAATGCATTTCACACGTTAAAAGTCACAATCAGGCAAGTTTAAAGTATGAATAAGTCACAAATGTAAAAATAAGTAATAAGGTATCATTTTTTGAGTGTTATTGGGATGTAAAACGGGTTGGCATATGATCAAATCTTCCATAAAGCCCTTTGATCACGTGACCAACCCGTTTTACATCCCAATAACACTCAAAAAAAGATACCTTATTTCTTAAAGTAATGACGCCATATGTACGTAATGACGTCACAAACATGACGTAAATTTCAGTTTTTTATGAATTTTACAGAAAATTGTACATATTTCGTCGATATTTTGAGTAAAAGTCACCGAGCGCATGTGTGTTCAGGATCAATATTTTGATATAATGTGTAGAATGATAATATCAATGAAATATGTCAATATTGTTCCTGAACAAACTTGCGCTCTATAAATTTTAAAGCTAAAATTGTTGAAATTTTGTCCATTTTGTCCTCTTTCTGAAAAAAGGATATAAAATCGGACTAGTTTGTGACGTCATAAAAACAAAAATTCTGAATACACTGCTTTGACACTATAATATTTTCTGTTAATTTATATTTCTCATACAATTTATTGAATTCAGCACATTTCAGAAAGTTTTCAAAATTTGACTTTTGTGGTGGCAAATATATGCAATATACCGCATATAGTTCTTTCATGGTTAATATTCAGGCGTTATATCTGAACGTTTGCAAACAAGCAAGGAGGAAGGATTAGAAGTTGTGAATTCCATGGTTTTGCTCCCCTTGGTTTGAGGGGAGGGTAAAAATGAATGCAGTCTTCAAACGTCCGTCCTCTGTACTCCTGGATAAACCAGGACAAGAGTAAGACGGTTATTATGATCAAATGATGAGAAATCAGCATAAACAAACATTCATGTATAAAAATCCATGACTTAAGTGTCAGGGGTTTTTGTCTTAGGGCGGAGCAACATTGACAGTGAATATTCAGAAGAGTATACGTGTAGTTATATTGAATATGTGTGCTCCTTTCAAAATTAAAAATTTATTTACCATAGGTGAGGATATTTGTGCTAGGACAGGGCTTTATATTTAAACATATAAGTAAAATTGAGTTTCTTCTGCAACATTTGTACAAAAGCAAGCAACGATGCATTAGCCTTTGCCATAATCATTACTTTTTTTCTTCACAGTTAATTCGAGGAAAAAACTACAACAGATTTCGGAGATTTGGAAAATGAAAGATGAATTGTGTGTGGACATACGTCGTCTGAAGAATATGCACATTATATCTCTATTTTATGTACAGAAAAATATTTCGATATGTTGAAAATAAAATATTGTCTTGAGTGGTTATGAACTACTACTGGTTTTGGCTCCAAGAAGCTGTTTTCCACGAATTTATGTAAGTGACTATAAAATGCAATTTTTCCAGGAATACCTTATATCAAATGCATGCGCATATATTGATTTTTTTTTTATTTTTCGACCTCTTTACACACCACCACTTGAAATTCTTGCTAAACTTAGCCTTTATATAATATGTTTCTAATGAAATGAATCGATAAAATTATTCGAAAATTGATGTACTTGTCGGTATGATCTTTGCATTTCAGAATTAAAATGTTTCTCTAATACAAAACATACTACATGCTCCAACAAAAGACTTTATAAATTAATGTTGTCAAAATGTTTGGTAAAACACATTTTCATGTTGACTACAACATGACTTTATTTTTTTTTTTTTAAAATAAACCATATAAGGAAGGACACCGGCCAAAGACTTTGATGAAAACAAACTTGGATCTACAAACAATAACATGCTTCGTACCTCGCATACTAACCTCGGACGTCAAAGGTGTTCAACCATCTTGCTAATTCAGTCATGGGATCAAATTTGTATTTCTTTCAAATGTAATATATTTGATTGTTTGGGGGTAGGGTGTGACCACAATAAGGAATCCAATTTTAACATTTTAATTCATTTGAATTCGGTTAAAAATCTTCTTATCAAGAACCACTGTGTTAGAAACGCTGAAACTTATTTGGAAGATTATTGGGATAATATTGATTCTATATTGTTTTATCTCCTATCAGAGTTTCATAAAATTTACGAAAATTAATGCTGTCTGACTGTAAACGAGTCCCACGTAACGTAGCCCGCCTTAATTTTGTTTAATAATGGATCGTACTCATAGCACTGTTGTGTAGCATGTACACGTATGTTGCGAGATATGAACACTATAAGCAGGCGATAGTAGGATATTACTTATTAATAAGGGACGTTGACGATAAATAAACTCAATACATCATTTCGTTTTCCTACAGTTGGTCCTTATTATCTGTATAGTCAGTATAACATCCAACTATGAATCATATTTGACAGACTCTGTGTTGTCTTTAATTTAAAGATCACTTTGATATGTTGAGTCGAAATATGCTTACGTTCGAGATATTGGAAACAATCCTTTTGGCATGAACCCTGATAACAAGTCCTTTTTTTACTATAATACTCAAGTATTTATCTGAAGATGATACTAAAAATATAATTCAGTTTCTGATTTACTTTATCTATGTAGTTTTTGGAGACCAGGTCTTCTAACACTCTGTCAAAATACCCATGGATACCATGCATTTATAAGGGTACAATTACTTCGATCATAGTTCGCCAATGAAAAGCAATGTACATGTATTCGTATGATGCCTTTATTTATGTAAATCATATACACATGAGAAGAAATAAACACTTGCTGGGACCGACATTTAAACAGATCGACGAGGCATTTTCAATTAACATTAGTTACATTTATCGATACCTGGATAACTTAACCTCCTTATTAAAGACAAGACATAACATTCAGTAGAGGAATAGAAGAAGTCATTTATTTACTAAAATAAATGACAGAATAATCAAACAAGACATACACTACCCTCCATAAATAAGTATCCACTGTTATTTTTTCACTAATTTTAAATGAAAAAAGCTAAAAAGTTTATAGAATATTTGTAATTGTCTTTTATAAAGAGAGATAACCTATACTGAGCATTGTAACAAAAGAATCCAATGAGAAATTAAATTTTTAGACAAAAATTAATCAATTAACACCATATACATGTATTTTGTAAAATTTATTCTCAACATTATTAAATGGTATTTGTATCATAAAAATCTCAGACTTTTACTCGCCTACTTTGAGTATTTAAAAGAAAAATAAACTTAAAAATAAAGAATGTTAATAACCAGTAACCTCTTATAACATGAAAAATTACATTTGATGGGTAAAAAAACTTAAAAATTGAGAAGATGGGGCGACTGACGTTAGAAGAAAGGATTCTCTGCAACCTGCTGCATCAACAAGGAAACACGATATCGGAGATTGCCAGAAGACTTGGAACTACAAGGTAAGTGAGCACTTTTGATAGAATTTAATTTTTTTTTAACATATTGCTTAAAGTTACAAAAAAAAACTTAATTAATTTCCTTTCCTTTAACAGAAAGACGATTCGGAAAACAATCGAGAGACGACAGACAACTGGATCTTATGAAGATGCTGCACGACCAGGGAGACCCAGGATATCAACAGCCAGAGAAGATAGAATTCTTGTGAGAGAATCTCTGCAGAACAGAAGAGAGACCGTTCCACAGCTAAGGACTGAGTGGATGCAGAATGGAGTCCAAGCATCCAACACCACAGTAAGACGGAGACTGAAGGAAGCTGGTCTTGTAGCACATGTGGCTTTGAAAAAACTCTCTCCTCACAGCTGTTATCGCAGGAAAAGATTGCAGTTTGCACTGGCTCATGCCAATTGGACTTGGGTTGACTGGTCAGCAGTGCTTTGGTACAGATTTACCCTTTTTCAAAATGATAGCCGTGTGTTCGTCAGAAGGAGAATGAGGCATACAGAAACAAATTGTACCAACAGTCAAGTTTGGTTGGGGTGGTGTAACTGGGGTGCCATGTACTACAGGGGAACACTGGATTCTTGACTTCTCTCAAAGATAACCTCAATAAAGATGGATATTTGGACATCCTCAGTAACTCGGCAATGCACAATAACTTCTTTTTTCAAGATGACGGCGCTCCATGTCACAGGGCAAAAGCAGTAAAGGAATGGAAAGCTGAGCAAAACATGCGTTGCCTTGAATGGCCACCACAAAGCCCAGACCTCAACCCAATAGAAAATTTGTGAAAGATCTTGGACTTGCTGTTAGAAATGGTCGAAGATGCCATAATCTCAGGGATTTGGAACAAGCCCTAGTTCATGAATATTAATTCCAGTAAGAAGATGTCAGAAACTTATTCGAAGCATGCCCAATCGTATACAGGCTGTAATACACACTAGAGGTGGATACTCAAAGCACTGACATACTTAATTTGAAATGATTACTCGATGTCTTATTTGTGCAATGATATTCCTGTAAGTTAATATATTTTTTTAAAGTGGAAAAAATCTTATGTTTTCATTGATATTTTATCATATTTTATTCATGTAATATTAAAATATATAAAAAAATACTTAAATTTACCTCAAATGATAGCCTGGTTTAGAAAAATAAATCAATAAAAACTTTTTCTGTTGGTGGATACTTATTTATGGAGGGTAGTGTATGTATATGTACATACAAATAAGACAAAGCAAAACATAATATGACAAAATAACCAAACAAGTCATACGTTTAAGTAAACAACAAATAATACAAAGCAAAACATACTAAGCATAGATCACAAACGATTATGCAATATTTATTTTTAAAAAATGTGATATACATACAAATCTTACATAATAAACTGAATATGATTGAAAAGATGGCCAACTCGATATGATTATCGCTGAGCTTGAAATAAAAGATAGCACAGATTCTGACACATTTGTAATATTTGAACACTTTACGTTAATGGTAACTGATAATAAAGCTTACTGATAATTGTGATGACTTTAACATTTCAATTGTCAACTTTCCTTATGTATGTGGCCATATACCCTTATTATTACCTGCTTATTGGGTTTATGTATTCCTTTTGATTTGATTCCTACAAGCATGCTATAATTACTAAACAAGGCAAACCTTTGACAAACAGTTGATGAATGAAGAATAATAAAAGTCTTGTTTTAAGTCATCATTTCTCAAGTTCTATGGTCGATATATTAACCAGCCCGTCAGCAATACAATATTTAAGTAAGTCAAATGCTGACTGACGTTTTTCAAACCTATTGATAAGCCATTTATCAATAGTTTATGGATTTTTATTTTGTTTTTCTCGATCATCACAAGATTGCAGATGTAATCGGTTGGCAGGGGATGCTCACTTCTCCATGGTACCTATCCCTTCCTGTTGTGTTATAGGCTCGAATTTGCTCTGTTCCTGAGTTGTATGTTTAAATGGGTTCTAGGGCTTGAATACAGATTGTTGTTCTAGACTAATATTTCATTCTAGCATTCACACAATTCTATGTGAATACCTCTTTTGTCACTTGTCCTTGTGATACAAGCAGTGTAAATTCTGCATCAGAAATTTTCCACTTACCTTTAATATCGGGAAATTCTCGTACTGCGTCGGTATGCTTGGCTTATTTTGTCTCTTGTTCATGATATTTATACAAAAGATTGCTGCATATCTGTTCCAAGCTGTAATCGAGTCATGCACAGAGTCATGAAGAAACACTCAGGTTCTTTTTAACTTCATTTCAACTTTATGAAAGAATGGTTAACTTCCCTTGAGTATCATTATTCTCTGCTTACAAGAAGAAATATCCTTTTCTCCTTTCGAAACAGTACAAGGAAAGCGATCGATGCACTGGAGACCCTGGATTTGACCTTGATTTGGGCCGACACAAAAAGAAGGTCTAATTAGCGCTTAACTGAGCTGCAAAACCCTGTTTGTCACTTACCTTTATATAAATAATATGGCTCAGTGCCGACGGGTAGGTACTTGATGGAGAATTTATCGTAACAGTATTATCTGAGCTAGGAATATAATTATGTTACTTCTCTCTATAGTCTTATTCGTTAATGAGGTTTGTAGAGTTGTTCCAGGAAACACTACAATTTGTGTTGATCTTTATTTTCGTTAGAGAAAATAAATACCTTACGGTATACAGGAAACACAACGTGTTGATCCATGAAAGAAAAAAAAAGTCATTTCTACTAGGTAAGTAAATTATCATGATTATAATCTGAAAACGACAATATTACTTTTTTTTTTTTTACAAAGTGTTAGGCCATTAAATTAGATCCGATCAAGTAAAGTGACGAGGAATATTAACTCCCTCACTGCGCCTGATCCCACTCTGATGTTTTAGGAGGTCCAAGTTTGTTCCTTTTTCTATGCTTGGTTACTGTTTCGTTATCTTCATAGTGAACTTTAAATAAATACGACTCTTCAGGCTGTCCAGATTGGGTTTTTTTCCATTTCCGGATTTACAGTGCGGACATCTTGACAGAGAAAATACGGACCCACAAGAGTTTCGATATAGATTATCGACGTGTACACAGTTTCAATACAAATCTTAACCTTTTAATTTTATGCCCCATTAATCGAGGGTTCGGGATGTATAGTTTTGCCCTGGCCATCCGTTCGTCTAGCTGTCTGTTTGTCTGCAAAAAATTTAACATTGCAAATAATTTTTAATTACATGTAGTTGGATCTACACACGTATGACTCTCATAGGACAATTCCGCTTGGACTTTCAGTAAGGCGTGGCATTCTAGACGTAACGTAATTAGCTTATGAAATTTACACAGCTTTCCTTCACTATTGAAATATATGTGGGATAGAAATTCGGGCAAATGCCAATTGGTGTAACGAATAACCAATTACATTGTCTCTTCCAGAAAAGAGGTGGGGCTGAAGTCATCTCATCTTTGTCAACAACAATTCAAAGTTCCTGATGTTTCTTAACCAATGAGAATCTATTCACCATTTGACAGACGCTAATTACGTAGCACCAAGAATGCCACGCCTTACTGAAAGTCCAAGCTTATCTGGGAATTGTTCTAATTCAAATGTATTCCTTGTGAAAAGACCTTTCTTTGAGTCCTAACATACGTAACCTCGTCACCTTGGACATATAGCCATGTTGCAACCACTATTGAAATAACGACCACTATTGAAATAATTATATCAATAGTGGTTGAGAGTGCATTTCAATAACAAACAAAGGTAACAACCACTATTGAAATACAACCACTATTGAAATAATTATTTCAATAGTGGGTGAGAGTGCATTTTAATAATGACCATAGGTTTCAACCACTATTGAAATACAACCACTATTGATATAATTATTTCAACAGCGGTTGAGAGTACATTTCATTAACAAACAAAGTATGCAACCACTATTGAAATACGACCACTATCAAAATAATTCTTTCAATAGTGGTTGAGAGTGCATTTCAATTACAGACGTAGTATGCATTCACTATTGAAATACGACCATTATTGAAAGAATTATTTCAATAGTGGTTAAGAGTGCATTCTAATACCATCTGACATAATTTGCAACCACTGTTGAACTGATGTTTACTTTAAAAAATAAATATTTCAATAATGATTAACATAAAGATTTTAAAAGTGATTGAAATATTGATTTCAGTAGTGCTTAAAACTATAAATTTAATGGATATTAAAATGATTAATACATGCAGTTGCTGACAATGATTTCAATACCAAAACCACATTGCAAGCTCTACTGAAGTATCCCAAATATAAAAACAAATATAAGGATGAATTACCAATACTGTTTTCCAACACAATAAACTATTTTTTTGAGTTTAAAATATAACAAAAGTTGTTTTGTTTTCCTTTTTTGTAGAAATTTCAATTAATACACGGACACTTTGTTTTATACTGACTGAGCTTTAATTCAACATACATGTATGCAAATGTTATAAGCAAGCTCCTGCTGAATCTGGCCGAATCTAAATGAAGGAAGAATAATTTTTATAAAAAGAATTAAGTATAGAACTAAATTGTTGCTTATATTCATGGGATTACCTAAACTAAAAATACGGATAGTAAAGCCAATGTCTACTCGTCAAGACATTAAATTTAAGGCAAATTTCTAGGGAAGTAAGTATTAGGTTTATTAAAATAGTAGGTGTGATTAAAATGTGGTTGTACGATGTTTTGAAACGCATCTTCAACTTTTTCTTTAAAAAAAAAAGATCATTCACAGGTAGTCGTAATTTTAAAAGTAAACTCAATAAATGAATTTAAAATGGAGAACATAAATAACCATTAATCCTTGTATTTTTTTTCAAAGTTAAGTTATTTCAAGAAGTCTTGCAATTTGGTTTTAGTATAAATTATTAGCAACTATCGACATAATTATTTAAATCACTTTTAAAATCATTATTTCAAATTTGAACATTATTTCAATAGTGGTTGTAACCTATGTTTGGTATTGAAATGAACTCTCATCAACTATTGAACTAATTAATTCAATAGTGGTCGTATTTCTATAGTGATTACATACTATTTATGTTATTGAAATGCACTCTCAACCACTATTGATATAATTATTTCAATAGTGGTTATTACCTATGTTTATTATTGAAATGCACTCTCAACCACTATTGATATAATTATTTCAATAGTGGTTGTATTTCAATAGTGGTTATTACCTATGTTTATTATTGAAATGCACTCTCAACCACTATTGATATAATTTTTTCAATAGTGGTTGTATTTCAGTTGTGGTTACCATCTATGTTTGTTATTGAAATGCACTCTTAACCACTATTGATATAATTATTTCAATAGTGGTTACCAACTATGTTTATTATTGAAATGCACTCTCAACCACTATTGATATAATTATTTCAATAGTGGTTGTATTTCAATAGTGGTTATTACCTATTGAAATGCACTCTCAACCACTATTGATATAATTTTTTCAATAGTGGTTGTATTTCAGTGGTGGTTACCATCTATGTTTGTTATTGAAATGCACTCTTAACCATTATTGATATAATTATTTCAATAG